ACTTACCAAGATGAGGAGGGTAACTCACACAGAACAAAGGTTCTGGAGAGAAAACACCACTTCATGTGGCTGCCAGTAATACAAACCTAATAAGAGATTTATCAGGAGAAGCCTGTCCATTTTTAGGAAGGGAAAACTCTCTGTTTTGAAGCAGAAAAGAGCGTGAGACCTCTCTATCTCCTCAGGGCACCATGGCTGCCAGAAAGAAGGGGCTCAGATGTGGTTATCAAACCAAACACTTTCAGAGGTATCAGTGGAATCTGGGGAAGGGGAAGAGTGGAAATGGTTCAATGGGAATAGCATATTACAACATCTCTTAGAATAAAGCTCAGGCCTTGTATTTTATTTCACTTACAGATGTACTACGGAGTTTATTTGTGCAGAACTGGTGAGTTAAAGCTGCAGTTTTAGAAAAACCAAACTGGATGGTTCTTTTGTTTTATACCACTCATTGAAGTTCCTAGCTCAGTTTTTAATGCACTTTTGAATTAATAGCTCAAACATGTAGAGCTAGACTACTGGAAACCTTTYTTCATAGAAATATTCTAATATTGAGATCGGCTACAACCCTATAACGCAGCTCCATTGAAAGGAAAACATACACTGCTTTAGACTGAAAAAAGACACATTCTTGCTTTTTAAGAGCAAATGTAGTAACATTTATTTAGCACAATGGTAGACTTCTTCTTTCCATGGCATGAGGTGGCCTTTTAGTTTCACCACTTGTATCTGAAGGGTGTGTAAAATCAAAAAGAGTTGAATAAGCAGACAGTTAAGCTGGATGGGTAGATTGACTTCATCAGAAAATGTTTGTCTGGCTAAAAACTCCCTTTCATCATTTAGTCAGTTCATATCCTCACCCTGTGGAAGCGGTTAGCTTTTAATTCATTCAAGAGATGTTATCAAAAAAGAAGGAGGTATTTTTTACAATCCCAACCCCAAAATAATACTGCTAAACAATACATAATTCATATCTCTTCAGAATTCTGAATGTGGTCAGAAATAAATAGCAGCACAGGCATTTAAGATCTATTCTCATTGAAAAATGTAATTAATTGGTGTTATGCACAAAATATTTCTTTGAGGGGGGAGCAGCATTGCTTTAATTACAAGTAATTGTTCTCAAAATCATGCAGCTCATAAGTTTTGCAGGCTAGACAGTGATTATGCATCAATACACTAATCTATCACCTTCATTATTTTAGTCATCTGGGTATGATCATCAAACTTTGGAGTGTAACCCAGACAAGAAACCAGACATATCTCATGCTTATATTCTTTCCAAATCAGTTTGTTTTAGAAGCAGTTTGCACTGGCCATGCAAATTTCAATGCTTTTGTTTCAAATAAAGATGGGAAATTAAATTAAATTTCCCTTTGTRTGCTATTAGATGATGACAAAAGAAAGGATATTCTTGTGACTGCACTATGGCCTGGAGGGCATACAGGAGACCCCAGTATTACTACATTTTGCAACAGACTGTCTTTGTAGCCAGGATATTTCACTTTATTAATTTTGTTCAAACTGCTCAGTGAACATAYAGGGAATCAGCTACTAGAGAGATCAAGCAAGCTGTCCAGCTCATTGCTCCCTTGATCTTAGACACCACAGTGGTGTGATCCCCTCACTGTCCATATTTAGGTGCTCTGTCACCCTGGGAGAATGACCCAAACCTCCTCCCAGCTCAGGAATACAGAGAGCCTTAAATCATTTGTGTTTGTACAGCTTACTGTATGATCTATTTAAATGAAAGTAGCTACCCAGASTCAAATTATGGTTGCTACCATTATTGCTATTAACATTATGAGATGAATGCAGAGCTGAATCTGTTATTAATTGAGGCAGGGCTCATCCCAGCCTTTAGTCATCCCTACCCAAGATACCACATAAGCACCCATGTAAATCAAAGTTAAGCAGAGGATTAAGTGCTGTCCTGCATAAAGATGGTTTAAGTACATGTTTCCTGAATCAGGGCATAAGCTGTTATTTCACTGCTGTCTCTGCAGTACTGCTTTTTCTACCTCATTAGAATGAGAAGATGCTTGCATAAATTCCTCATATTGACACACAAGCCTATGCCTGTCTCCCTGAGAATTTGGAGATTTCTTTCCCTTTCCCCCAAATTAATAAGTGCTGTCACCTGCATCGCTAAACACCAATTTGCTGCTTACCGCTAACAAGACCTCCACGTAATGTAGCTAACAGTAGTATTTCAAAAATAGAKCTCTCCTGTTCCCAGCATGTCTGACAAGAATACATTAGAGGCACCTGTCCCTGGCACCAATATTTTGTTTTCTCTTTCTCCACATGGGAAGAAAGAAGTCTAATTTGCCTTGAAAACAAAGCAAATGTGAGCACAGGAATCTGTTTTCCCATCCTGCATCCCCTCTTTCCATCCTCTCCAATTGTATGGAGATTTTCAGAAGTAAGTAAACACTAAAAACATATCCATTTGAGTGAAAAACTAAAACTATCTCTTTCTTAATAATTTTAATTTGAAAACAATTAGGAAGCAGGAAATATTTTAATTACRTTTGAAGCCATGAGACTGGCTTTGTGCTTACCAAATCAAAGATATAAATATTGCACTACACCACAAATATACTGAAAATATCATCAAGCTTAAAGCAAATCCATCATACTAGTTATTTATCCAGGTCAAGATCAATAATAATGGTACAATAGAAACTCAGAACTGTAAAATCTAGATGTTCCTCACCTCAAAGAATATGAAATGGCGCAATGTGCTTCTATATCCTTTCTCTGTATTGCAAGAGTAGTTCTTGTCCTGGTTTAAACATGGATAGAGTTAACTTTCTCTCTGGTAGCTGTTATGATAGACTGTGGGATGGGTTACTTCAGCCCTTAGCTTCAGACATTTGTCCTGTATACTTTGACACCTGAGGGAGATTCCTTGGATCCCTTCAATGCCCATAGAAGGAAATCAGTGCCTTGAAGACTCGATTCATCTAGTCAGATGTAAATGCCAGCCCTAGAAGATTCTGAGTAGGTACCTCCTAAAAAATGCCTGGTTTTATATATTTACTTCAAAAGGAGCCTTAAATGATGTAAATGTCTGCATGGAAACAACTGCATTTAGTTAGATGAATGCCAGGATTCTGGGTGCTCAAATGAATCCTCAGACATGTCTGCTCAGCTGCTTTTAGTAGGCTCTACCTTTGTCCATCTGCATTAATTTTGTTTGGATGTCTTGTATTAGAAAACAACTGGTTTGTGCTTTAATCCCTGTGACAATGATGCTGTAAGCTGACAAAGCTTACTTTTATGACATGAATATCTGTCCTGTCTWGGATGGTTTGTGAATTCCTTCCAGCACTTGAGCAGCAGATTTGAATAATCCTAGACATGGCTTTAATGCTAGATCTGACTCAGTGGGGTTCCCATTAAAAATACCTAAAACATGTCCATTGACCAACAAGGAGACTGTATTGGGTCTCTTAAGCATGCTATCAAGAAGACAGCCAAGGCAGCACTGTAAATCAATAATATTCATTTCGATGAAATCMATTGACAATAGCTGGGAATATAGATGTAAAACTGTTTCCTTTCTTATTCATCAGAGAAATTTTACATGCTATACAAAAGATGGGAGTACCCAAACAATATATTTGTGGGGGTTTTATCCTATAATTTTTTTGGTGTTGCTGTCATGTGAAGAGACAGAAAGTCTCCTCATTCTCCTTATGATTTATGWGATATTTCAAATGGGATCTCTTGTTTAATGTTCATTATTATCCCAATCMAATGTTGGGATACAAATAACCATTTTTAAAAAGAAGCAGCAAAACATATTGACTAATAAAATCTTCCAAAAAGAAGTGTTTAACACTTGTTGCAATTAATTACTATTTTATTATACATGTTTCTGCTCAGCTTTCTAGTCGGATTTTCAGACACGTGGTTTTCATGAACCTGGCAGTCCTAAGACACTGCACAAATTTTGCAGAGGTAGGTCGGATAAATCTTTGCAAGGTAACTATGTAACAGAATGACCTCAGACTGAAGTTTCCTTCTTGCCTGTTTTCTTGAGTAAGGATCTAAGTTTGAAAAAGCTGCCTTGTTTAAATGAGGAGTTCACTTTATAAATAATAAGGTTGTATCCATTTTCTTCTACCAAGTTAGTCATCCTTTGACTATTTCATCTGCCCCTAGATCATGTAGCAATAAGGAATAAAGACACTTTATGGACCTAATTTTTCAAACACTTACCTCACTGTACAGCAGGAGTAACKGCCTTGTAGTCATTAAGTCTGATTTCTCTCATACTTCATTCCTGCTTAGCTTCCAAAAAACATGRGGCATGGGAAGCGGCTGGGGAGCTCTTCTGTGCCTCTCCTTCTCAGGCTGCTTTAASTTGTGGCTCACAACAGTGTTGCCAGCCTAGGGGTGCACACAAGTGGAATACAACAAGCATAAGGAGCCCCAAGCACTGGAGAGTTCCTTTCTAAAATTACATACATGTTGTACAGTAACGTTAAGTCTCACTGTGAAGAGAAGAACCCCACCAATTGAAATTGGCACTGGTTTTGTTCATAATCTTTTATGTTTGCAGTTTTTAAAGAAAACAGGTCAAGTCTTCGCAAAAAAATGTTTGCTGGGAAAAGAAAAAACCACAGTGAAGTGACACTTTGATTATAATTAAAAACTTTTCAGTTTGTTTAACCATTCACTTTAGGCATTTTTTGAGCAGTGGAAACAGCAGTGCTTCAAAGATAATGAACATTGTATGATTGCTAATGAAATCCACATATGCATATACATATATATACATTATATTATATGTATATWTGTACACATTCTATAGATATATACCCAAACACACACTATATATATATTCTTTATGCTATACATTTATCTATCTACTACACAGATATAAGCTCTTATTCCTTAAAAAGGAATAAAATCAGAGGGAAAGCACATCTTTGAAATGTGTCTCTAATTGTCTTTTTAGAATGTTCTATAGATCATTACTGATTGTTTACAAACCTTGTGTGGAATGACATTATGGCAATAGAGGGGGTAACATACCTTCATTGTTTATAAAATGACAGCTCCTAATGGACCATATTAGCTTTAACACAAACTATTAAATCCTTTTCATTAAATTATTCTGCACTCTATTTTGGAATCTTGTTAGCTCTGGGAAGTAGGTGCAAACTCCTAAGGAAACATGAGCACACATTGAGACTATTATAGATAATGTTTATTAAATAAGCCTCTGAGGATGTTTTTCTTGGGTTGCTCTCAAGCATTTTGAAGGAGTCGTGTTCCATGTTTGAGGTCCCATGTTTCTTCCTCTTAAACTATGAGCAGCTGTAGCACATGACCTACTTCTGTAGAACCCTGTAATGATTTCCTTCCTTCAGTGGCTTCAGGAGTCCCTCTTCTGCCCTGTGAAAAAAAAAGGGACAAATATTTTAATCCAAGCAAAATGCTAAAGCAGGTTTTGTTGGTTTCAGGGAAGAAACTCAATACAGCTACATCACCGAGCGTAGGCCTCAAATTGGAACCATCTGGCCTGCAGAAGCACCATGAGATCTTTGGGAAAGGCATGGATATTTTTGCCTTGGGCTGTAACACATACACCTGCAGAATGGGTAGACATGTTGGCAGACAAGCTGGACTCGTGTAGCAATACAAACCTTCCCTCAAAGCGCTGTGGCAGTGCCGGAGTTTGGAAATTACCCTGACATGTTTAATAAATGCAATCCCTGTACTGCATGCTCTCCAGATAAAAAGTATTCATCTGTGCTTGCCATTAAGTTAATTCAGACAGGTCTGCACTCCAAGGCCCCTGTCTTTTTGCCCTTCTTGCACAGATAGTTCCTTTGAAGACAAAATAAGGACAAGGAAGAAAAGATGGTAAGCACAAAATCATGCACTACATSTTAAGGCTGCCACTTACAGGAGGTAGCCTCATGTGATATTCATGTGAGCTGGATTAGATTGAGAAGAGATTCTTGTTGGTAAATATTACAGCTCTTGCAGAACACAAAAGAATGCAGGACTCAGAGTAATCTGGCCCCCTTGGTGGGAGATTTGTAAAATCTCTAGGCTGGATGTAGAAGGAACAAGAAGCCACACACAGACTCTAAAGGTCACRACTCCAGAAACTGTCAGAAAGAGGCAGCATCCAAGCCCATCCAGAAAATGAAAATGCATTTCACACAAGCAGGGGGACATACTCCTATGACTGGAATGTTATTAAACAATTAGGATCACAGGTGTTACCAGAGCTCTGCACAGTGCCCAGTTTTATGCCTGCGGGCTGGTGGATGGCAGAGCAAAAGACCAGAACRTGGCATTTGCACCTTTGTGATCTGTAGTTGCAAATACTATTTTGCACCTGCAAWTTTGTACCTTCCCCTACAGGCACTCTTCAGACAAAACTCCAAGCAGTCCCTGGGGGCTAAAAGGTTAAGACCTATAATAGCTGGACATTAATACCATGTTATTCTTCTTTCAGCAGTATAATGTGTACACAATATCCAAGGCAGAATATCTGCTGCTGGGTTAGAGAGCGCGGCTGCTCACATTACGCAGTAAATACACCACAGGGGAGCAGGTTTCCCCTGGCTTGCTCTCACTCCACCTCTCACTCCATGCTGACTGTCTCAAACTTTCAGTGGGGAAAGTTTACACCCYGAATCTCAATCTGTACTTTCCCATACTCCTGAAGAAGTCCAAAGAGAACATTTTGGCCCAGCTCTGCTTTCAATGTACTCTATATTGCTAGCATCTGGAGTCATGTACGTGGGCTATCCCAACTCTGAGCCAGGGAATAAAATAGACAGMATGTGTGCAAGATTGCAGTCTAGTCCTTTGCAACGCAGAATTCTGAGCACTGCTAGTTCCCTAGTTTTCTTCTCTTTGGGAGATGCTGAAGTGTTTTCAGAGATAAATCCTCAAGGTGACTTTTTAATTGTTTCACTGAGAGTTAAACTGGAGGAAGAGATAAAAAAAGACTACGTCCAGTGTGTAAATATCAGGTATAAAATCTCTAATTTGCCTCTCCTGCACTCCTCTGTAAATGTGAAGCAGCTTTATGGAAGCCTACAGAACAGTGCCAGGGTAAAAGAGATGGTGAAGGGAGCAAAATATTTCTTTCTGAGATCTACAGAGACATTATAGAGATTTGTATGATATGTCAAATATAACAGGAATAAAGGTGGAGCTGTCTCAAAGGATAGCTCTGAAATGGCCTCCTTAGTTTACGACTCACTCTTGCCTGATTTTGGAAAAGAAATCTGACGTTATGTATTGACACGTAGGAAGGATGGGATACAGTATGTATTGCTGTGGACAAACTTCCTTCTGGAATCATATTTTATTTCCTTTTGCTTTTCACCATTTCACCTCAGSTCGCAGCAGCGTCTCACTGCCATCCACACAGGCCAAGGCAGCTTTGCCTAATACACATCTCCAACAGTTTCCAGTGCTGTTTCAGCAACAAGATGAGAGTTAATGAGGCTCAACACACTTCCTACCATACTTTATGGGGAAAACCCCTTGAGTGAGAGCAGGAAATCCATCTTGTAGGAATTACAATGTGGTCTCAGTTCCTCAACTAGAAGCTGAGGAGAATATTGATACTTTTCAAAATATCAAATAGTAAGCATGGGGGTTCTGCAGCCAAATATCCCTTTGGTTAAACAGGGYAATTTTTCATTTCAGTGTCATTTAGATTTCTGAAATAATTTATTATATACTTGAAGAATATTGAAAATTTCYCCAAAACAGATTCTACTACCTCTGTTTTTGCAGGCTGTGCATAGACAATCCCACTGCTAACAGGAAGAAAAGGTGCTGTTTGCTGGGAGGCAGGGAGGAAAGGATCAAACCCTTCTTAAAAGCCTTCTGAAAGATGGGAAAAAGCAAGAGGGCCCAGATTTCACCAAGGGCATTTTGACAAATAACTAAACTGCCTTGTGATCTCAACCAGTAAACCAGGCAGGCTTACCACAGCCCTGCTGAATGCCTTTAACAAGAAGAAATTCCTCCATCACATTCTGGGAATTACAATTAAAAAAAAAAATAAATCTTTATGAGAGGAAAGCAAATGCAGCTGTGAACTTGGGGGCCAGGTAAAAGGATTTGCAAGAATATAAAGAGAAAAGTACTTTCTCTTAGCAAGATTTTTCAGCCATCTGGCTCTTCCTSCTCTCCCCTCCCCAGTCCTGGGGGTGATGGTCCTTGCAGTACACTTTTCCAGACACACACCAAACCTGACACATGGGCTGCAGCCGCAAGCCAAATGTCTGTTTCCAGATGTGCCTGCCGGCCCCAGTGGAGCTGCTCCCCCATCTCACAGCTCGCGACCCCAGGTTAGCAGCTAAACTTTCCTGGGGTACCGAACAAATAAGTGATTGCCCAAATCCTGATCCTTCTTTAGCCCTGCCCCGGGTCCAGTTTCAAACAAACATGGTAGAGGTGTTCCCTGCCTGCWTCCATCATATTTTACAGCACTGGCTGTCCCCTTCCTGTCCAGACACARGCATTTTCTTCCCATGGAAACCACAGCACAGGACAGGAGAAGGAKGATCTATTTAAACACAGGTCCTATCCCTGCACACAGCCAGATGTTGCCAGAATGGGCAGCTGAATCCAGAAGCCGGAGACCACTTGTGGTCCCAWGATGTAGATTTGTTCAAATGCTTCTAGAAAAGTCATGTGTATGCAGTTTACAGAAATGTGRCTTTTTCATGAGATATTTTTCCTTTTCCATAAGTAAAAGCAGAAGAGATCTCTTTCTCCTCTGGAGTTTCAGGCCTTAGAGTTAATTTTGAAATGTTCACAGTCTTTAGAGACTGACAATTTCCAGCWATTGATATTCTTGACTTGTTCATAAGTTAATATTTACCATAAACATCTCATTGAGAAAATTAAAAGAAAAAGCATATTTTCAAAACAGCAGAAGCTGGTGAAACAATGAAGCAGACACAATTTTAAATGAGATATTTTTAAAAACATTAAACCTTCCTTCCCTTTTTTAAATTAGTGGCAAAAAGAAAAAATGAAAAACAAGTGCCCCCAAACCAGAAGRGTGATAAGCAGTTTTTATTGTTGAGTTCATTACTGTGGTTATTTTTGGGAGAGAAGATGTTTTCCTCTTAATTCATGAACCAGAAATGAGCTCTTTGGAGGCTATAGTAAAAAGATCTCCTTACAAATGACTATGAAAAGATGACTTTGCTAGAAAATTCCAGCTGGTTCAACCATATCCAGATGCCTCAGAAACTTTATTATAGCTTGTCTAACTCTCGCCTACCCTCATCAAAGAACAGCCAAGACCAGAATTTCCCAAGGCAAGGATCCCACCAGCAGCAGCAGCAGAGCAAGTGAAGCATGTGATGGGCTGGGGCACGGTAAGCAAAGGCAATGGCTTTGGCTGTGGTGAAAGGCTGTGTCCAGCAGCTCAGCTGGTTGTTAACACAGGGCCCTGGCTTGCTCCCTTCCAACCTGCAGAAACTGGAGCTCGGTTTGTAGTCCCCATGTGGAGTTTGCTAGTCTGCTGCCCTGGGGTCCCACACTCACTTGTCACCATCTGCTCTGGAAATGGCAGCAAACCTCACTCACCCCCTTCCCCTCTTCCCAGCCCCTTGCTGGGGAGAGCTGCCGACAAACTCACCGGCAGCGAGGGCAACGCATGAAAGAAAACACAGAGCCGACAGAAAAACGAAACGCACATGGCAGGGAATAATATTTCATTTGTGCAGTAGTGGCCCTGCTCAAGCAGTGTAAATAAAGCAGGTTACTGAGACGTGAATATACCACTGTTTATAAATACTAGCCCTTCTGCCCAGAGACGTGCGTGAGGAGAGCTGGACACTCGTGAGGTCACCCCACCACATTTTATGATTTACATAAATCATGTCAACACTGCGAGCAGGAACGCTGGGTGAATGGGGCCGCATGAAGCGAACCATTCAGCCTCCTGTCACAGGTCTTAAAACAGGTAGAAGCTGTTAACGGGCCCACCAAATCTCTTAAAATGCAGAGGGGATGAGGGATAATCCAGCCAAGGAAAGAAGGCATGCACCCACCCCATGTGCCTCAGCTGACAGAGACTTCCCCGAGCTCTGAGGAACAGAAAGCCAGCCAAAAMCAGAGTGCTAGCAAAGCCCAGGAGCTAAACTTGTGATTAATATGCACCTTCACAGAGGGTAGTGTGTCCCACCGAGCAACTGCTCTAATGAAGAAAATGCCTGAGCGCCTGGGAAAGGTGAAGAAAACGCCCCAGGTTTTGCTGCGTGAGGGACACTTCCTTCCCTTATTTACCAAGCACATYGAAAATGTGATTTTTCTGGCAGAAGAATCAATATTCTGGAACTAAACGGAAGCCCCTCTGTAGGTTTGCCTTGCATCCAAGTAYCTGTGGTTTGGGGGCTGGA